ATTGACGTTCAACCAGTAAGTATATGTGCTGGGGAGGTGGTAAAGTAATGACATGTAAGGCATATATTTTGGTTTGTGTTTAAAATCTTGCCATAGTAATCATATTTCATTACAAACAAATTCAATAGTTAATTTGTTAAGAGTTTCAAACCTAGGACAACTGATGAAATTGAGGTTGAAATGCAATACCTATGTTCTTACCAGATAAGGCATTGCCATAACATTTTATTTGTGTAAAACTTGAAAAGCAACCATTTTCAAGTTCCTAGTAATGGGCACGCTGGTCCCCAAGGAGGCCCTGCAGGGGCAACACTAGGCGCTTTAATCTTAATAAGTCAGTTCGTCATTATCTGTGGTACAACTACAAATGGCCTCAGATTTGTCATCACATCGCATTTCACTCATGAATGCAAGCAAGTCCTTTAACCTGCAAATGACATGTGAAAAATGCATGCTTATATTAACAGGCTGTATATGCCTTCCAGCTTAGTTGATGTAATGCTCTGAACGTGACCAGTTTGGGTACAGTTGACCTTTGCCGCAGGGATATGTAAGAATACCCAGTAATGTTTTGATGGGACAGGGATGAACATGCATAAACAAATTTGGGTGTCCTGTAGGTGATTGTGGATTCATAAGCAGAAGCATTCGACAAGCATCAAATATATATATATCAATCCATATAATTACAAATGATTTCTTCTTGATTTCTCTTTGGACTACAGGAGGTTCTCGACATCCAGACTTATGTTGATAACATTGATGAAGCAGTCAGGTCACAGCCATTTGTTGTTGTGCGTGGGAACATTCTCACACCAATACAGGCGTACGTCGTAGTAGAGAGGAGGATACTTCCTGCCGCAACACTGCTTAAAGCAGTCGACTTGTGCTTTAAGGCACTTTATGTGATGGATATCGAATATCAGCCGCAAAGCTGTTCTGTTTGGAAATTTCTCCAGATTGTGGTGTTCCAGTTTACCGATGGGGAGCATCTTACACCAAAGCTGCGGGAGGTCCGAGCCTTCATGAACATGCCATAAGCCATCATGATGTGTTCACGCCAAGGATGATTACTGGTGATATATTTCCTACAGATGAAACTGACACATCATCGTTTAGCACATTTTGGCTACTTGAACCAGTTTATTTTGGGAGAAAAAAAACTGGAAAAAAGTATTATTTTGGACAAAATAACCTTAAAGACAAACTGTTATGAGTTGGATTCAGCACATTATTTTACATAATTTAGACATGTTTGTGTAAGACTGAAGATTTGAGGGTGGGGTGAGGATCGCTGAATAATATAAAAAAAAGAGAGAATTTATACACAGCAGAAGTCTTTGTGTACATTTTAAAAATGATAAAGGCCTAATTGTTTTATCCCAATCATTGCTTAACATCCCCACCTTGAAAGTTTAAGAAAACAAATGAATATATGCCAAGTATAAATACAAAACATATTATTGGCTATAAATCTTTTGCACTGGCGTATACAAATGCTTATCGTGTTTGGTCTTAATCCCAAGAGTACTGTTTCATAACTCGTACATCAAAATGATATATTTCTTCATAAAACATGAGCTATGATATTTATGACGTTTAAAACAGCAAGTGGGGTATATGATTGTAAATTACATATACCATTAATTTTCATGTAATGTGTATCGTCCATTGACCCTACGCTGAACTCTCTGCTGAATGGACTGCATGCATTAATTTACATCGCGCAAAGCAGAAGTAGAGAAGTCAACATTTTCATCTACATTTTGCAAAATTGTATTGATATTATTGATAATATCAATAAAATCAATCAAACTGAGTATAGCAGGTAGGGTCAATTGATTTTTGTTGTCTTTAATCTAATCAAAAAGTTATAGTAGGCAGTGTGTATCCTTGTTATTTGATCAGTACCTGTTCACCATCACAGATAGCCAAACTTTCATGTGGTACTTCTGCACATGTCAAATAATCTAGAGGGATTTGAATTTATTTCCTCTTTTTTTTTCACTTCAAAAAAATGTGTGCATGTGTAACACTCTAAGGCAGAGTATTGGTGTGTCAGGATAAATGAACACTATGCCACACATGGGAGTACATGGGATACATACAGTGTACATCAAAGTTGTCATGCTGCACCAAACAGGGGCTATATTTGCATTTACTTTTTTTAAAAGGTTGTATTTTTTTCACCAAAAATTGTAATGTTGTAGTTGATGTGAACAAGTTTTGTTTTTACGTTTCTGATGAAAACAACAACATGTGTTTACTGTGTATGTTATTTGTGTTTCAGTTAAGCAATTATTACCCTTTAGATGAGAAAAAGAGTTGAGCAAATAGATGTTATGGAAAAAATGTTGAGCAATGATTATCCAACAGACGAATTAAAAAGTTGGGCAAATGGATATTGTGGAGAAATAGTTGAGCAATTATTACCCAATAGATGGTTGTTTTGATAGTTGGGCAAATGGATATTGTGGAGAAATAGTTGAGCAATTATTACCCAATAGATGGGTGTTTTGATAGTTGGGCAAATGGATATTGTGGAGAAATAGTTGAGCAATTATTACCCAATAGATGGGTGTTTTGAGAGTTGGGCAAATGGATATTGTGGAGAAATAGTTGAGCAATTATTACCCAATAGATGGGTGTTTTGAGAGTTGGGCAAATGGATATTGTGGAGAAATAGTTGAGCAATTATTACCCAATAGATGGGTGTTTTGAGAGTTGGGCAAATGGATATTGCGGAGAAATTGTTGAGCAATTATTACCCAATAGATGGGTGTTTTGAGAGTTGGGCAAATGGATATTGCGGAGAAATTGTTGAGCAATTATTACCCAATAGATGGGTGTTTTGAGAGTTGGGCAACTGGATATTGCGAAGAAATTGTTGAGCAATTATTACCCAATAGATGGGTGTTTTGAGAGTTGGGCAAATGGATATTGTGGAGAAATAGTTGAGCAATTATTACCCAATAGATGGGTGTTTTGATAGTTGGGCAAATGGATATTGTGGAGAAATAGTTGAGCAATTATTACCCAATAGATGGGTGTTTTGATAGTTGGGCAAATGGATATTGTGGAGAAATTGTTGAGCAATTATTACTCAATAGATGGGTGTTTTGAGAGTTGGGCAAATGGATGTTGCAGAGAAATTGTTGAGCAATTATTACCCAATAGATGGGTGTTTTGATAGTTGGGCAGACTGGGAGTTGGGTAAAAACTGGTTGGGCATTTAATTAACCAACATTAAACTTACTCAAAAGTTGGGCAAATAGAAGGTTGGGCAATATCTAACTGGGTAAAATTGGTTGGGCAAGAAATTACCCAACTGAAAATATAACCAACTGTTAGGCAATTGTAGAGTTGGGTAAAATATGATGGGTCACCAACTGATGGGCAATTTGATTTGCCCAACCACATAGCAAACTGATTACCCAACATCAGTTGGGCAGATTTTAACCAATAGTTGTGTGGACCGTATGTTGCTCAGTGTTGGTTAAAAGTTGGGCATTTTTTTGCCCAACTATTTTAAGTGTGTATATAATATTATACACTGTCGCTCATAAAGTTGGAATATTGTTGTTTCACCCCAATTTATGGAATTAATTTTAAAATAATTAAAAAATAATAGATCTAGATAATCGTAAACATTCTCAGATTTTATTGAATAATAATTTGACAATGTGTGTTTTGCGTGACTGCTAAAGCATGTATATGCAACTATGCTTATCAACTAGGGGACCTACGCCCTTAGGTCATAAATGACAGTAATGAGGATTAATGCCCCACAAAAGGGCACTAATATAGCACATCGACACGGTTTTGATCCTAGGGCCTCACAGTTACGAGGTCATTGCTTTGTCACTGAGCGATGACTGTACGCAGCGGGGGCTGCACAGAAACACCGAAAATGCAATAAATTTTCAATAATTTATTGCATTTTACCCCGGTTCCCAACATAAAAAAATCCTCTGTGTGCCCATGCCTTGAGCCATAATGCTTGGCCGTCCAGAGGTTTTTTAATGTTGGGGACAGGGGTAAAATGTAATAAATTATTGGAAATTTATTGCATTTTCTGTTTTTTTTATTTATTTATGGAAACTGCGCCCTGCCCTAGCCCCCGCTGCGTACAGTCATGGTTCAGTGAGAAAGCAATGGCCTTGTAACTGTGAGGCCCCAGGATCAAAACCGTGTCGATGTGCTATATTTAGTGCCCTTTTTGGGGGCATTAATCCTCATTACTGTCATTTATGACTTAAGGGTGTAGGTCCCCTAGTTGATAAGCATAGTAGCATACACATGGTTTAGCAGTCACGCAAAACACACATTGTCAAATTATTATTTAATAAAATCTGAGAATGTATACTATTATCTAGATCTCTTATTTTTAAATTATTTTTAAAATAATTCCATAAATTGGGGTAAAACAAAAATATTCCAACTATATGAGCGACAGTGTAGGTGGGTTTCTAGGCTACGGGATTACGAACATTGCTTTTTTTTGGTAAAACTGATAAATCAAAGAGTTGACACAATTTGCTTATTCAAAGGCCTGCGTGTGCTTTTCGTTTCCGATAAAAGTATGGGCCTTTATCATTGTTGAAAGATTCATAGTGATTTTAATGAGATAAAAACATGAGGAACAATGTTAGAAGCAGACATCTCATTGAACAAAAGGTGAAAGAGAAAAAGGGGGAGAGAGAGAGAATGTTAAGAAAAGAGACGGCTTTAGTGAAAGAGATTATAGAGAGATGAGACCGATTAGAGTGTAGTTTTTCCAAGTATGATCTTATTAGACATTAAAAATTGATGAAACGTTATACCGGAGTAAACA